TTCGATCCAGCTCATCCCAAACCAGCTCTGTAGGGTGATTGTGGGGGCCAGGTCATCTGTCACAGCACTCCATCTCTGTCCTTGTTCACAAGATGATATTTACTACATAACCACAAGGGATGCTTAGGGTTATTATTTTGTTGAAAAACAAATGATTTTCAGTAGGTGTGCCCATACATTTGACTGCATCTTTCTCATGCAATGTTTACTGTAGTTATCGTCATATTCATCCAATTATTACCAAAATAAGTCAGACTTATTTTTATATAGAAACTGTTGTATATGTAGTGTATTTTCTATATATGCCGTTACTAGATTTTAATCATTAATGTGTCAATAAAAAAATAAATATTACATATGGTTTGGAATATGTATTTTTGTGACATTTAAATAGATGTTGTGTGTGATCTAAGGAAGACGTGGGACAGTATGTCCTTTCTGGCTTTCCGTAGTCGGCAACATGTCTGCGCTCTGTGTTGTTGATTGAACCATATGATTGAACAACGCGGAGAATGGACCCTGGGCATTCTGACATAACACAGAACAATTTCATATAACGGTAGGGATTCCACATATTTCGGTATGTTCTGTTTTAATTACTTGGGGTAGGAATTAAGGTGTTATACCTAAATGGGTACATAACTTGATTCTTGACTCGGATCACTCGTCACAGGGTATTGTAGTGTTTAGCCATGACGTTGATATTATTCTTATAATTTTGAAGTAAGAGCCATATTGTAGGTACTTATTCAGGATCGAGAATTTTAGAAACAAGATGCGCAAGTTCTATAATGTAATCAAGTAAAAAATAAATAATAAAAGTTACAGTTTCATCGTCAGAATCAGGGTTGCCAACTCCGGTCAGGTTGCTGGAGACAAGTCTGCACACACATGTATGTAACAGTTTTATTACCTTGTAAATAGTTTGCAGGGTTTGCAAACTACCCCGACGATTTTGAGGTAGCTAATTTTAGGTTTATAATGGAATACTAAAGATTTGCCATAAGATTTCTTAGGTGAGCGTAAGAGTCAGAAAGCGTGAGTGTCACGCCAGATGCGGGAGAGTTGGTATCACTCAGGGCTGGACTGGGTTGACAATATCGGCCCTGAACTTCTGCCCAGACAGGCCTACTACGCATACATACCTGCGATAAATTGCCGATCGGTGGGGCGGCGGGTGGAGGTGTCCCCCATGATATATCTTACCGGTGTTCTGTCGATATATTCATTTTAATTGATACTTTATTGATACCCGTGGGGAAATTGTTTTTACGCCTCCCTCAACTTGCTCTTTGTAGAGTAAGTTGTCCGCGAAGGGCAGCCACCTGTGGGGGCGCCCAGGGAGCTGGGGGTTAAGGGTTGCACGTCTTGCTCAAGGACCCACAGACGTGCTGAGGCCGGGTTTGAATCGGCGACCTTGTGATTACAGGCACACAGGCTTAGCCCACTGAGCTTTATATGCTTATATGCTTATATGCTGCCTTGTCGAAAAATGCTACCGTAGTGCTAATAGATAGCCCTAACCCTAACTCTTACCCTTACCCCTCAAAACCCCTAAAACCTAACCCTAATCCCAAAACGGTGGAACTGCACATGCGCAGAAAGGCTCGATAGCACGTCTCGATAGGTAGTATTTTTCGACAGAACACCTGCTCAAAAACCCATCCACCCAAACATTAGTGAAAGGACAGGCAACATCACAGATATTAAACTTATAGGGACTGGAAGAGAAAGAAATTAGTGAGCTTTGACAAATGTATTCTTAACACGGCTCATGCAAAAGAAAATTGTGGGAATGCAGACATGACTGGAACATCGTGTATATGAGAAAATGTCCCTTTTGTGGTAAGTTTATTCACTTATTTTAATATGATTTCTCATGTTTTTTAGAAGCAGCTATGGCTGAACATGCTCCCACTGTGGCCCGCGCGGCAGTGCTGAAGGAGAGCTCCCCCCTCCCTGAGGACCTGCCTCAAATCAAGGGCTACGACTTTAACCAGGGAGTGGATCACAAGGCGCTGCTGCAGTCTTACCTCACCACCGGCTTCCAGGCCAGCAGCTTCGCACAGGCTGTGCAGGAGATCAACAAGATGGTGAGAGAGGACACCACATATGATGTCCTGCCTGAGAGATTATTAAATTAAGGACAGTAATAACTATAAGCGAGTATAATTTACTTCTGCTGCAGATTGAAAAGCGACAGGAGCCATTGGAGGAGGTGGGTGAATGTGACACTGATTCTCAGCAGCCACGCTCGGGTTGCACCATTTTTCTTGGG